AAAACGCAAATACATATTTACTTAGCAAAACAGTGCCCGTTCCATCTTTCAACAACCGGGTCTTCCAATAGTTACACAATGAAATAGCGTCACCGCACTTGCTACCGTATAGCAAGGGCACACAGCACAGATTCAAAGTGAGAAATAGGAGGGTTCGTTTTAAGGTATCCGAAATCTTACCCCATTGGTACGCGGCACGGCGCACAGGAAGATACAGTGTCATTACGTTCAAATGGAATGAGATTAACGCGTCTCGGTGCGGATATGGGATCAAAGACCAACAAGGGCCTGGGTGCCCTTGGGGTTATTAGCACGAGTTGAGAGTGTACAAATGTCACAGCGGGTATGGAATGAGAGCAAGTCCATACCGAGTGGTGGGACACCAGGACATGTTACACAGTATAGGCGCGATCGTACCTTGCAGCGGGTTTGTGATGAAACCACGTAGACTTGGTTAGGAAAACAATGAATCGCACAATAGCCCGTAGGAGCAGGTGTCAGATAAGGCATATTGGGAGTAAGTCTCGATACCATAGTGTGAGGTGCAAGGAAAACATGGGGCTTTGCATAGTGTATCGCATGGGGTAGACAAACACTGGGTTATCCGGGATCTCGGCAGAAGGCGCAGATGGTGTAGTTATCTGACTATGATCTTGAGAAGCAGGCTGCGGTTTCCGTGGTACTTCTTCCGCCTAAAAATATGAACATTGTGGTCGGCGCACAGCTCCAGGATTCGATTACCATTGTCAGTTCGGCGTGCGACGAAGCGCCCTACCAGGTGTTATTCAGAATCTGAAAGACGACCCAATTGGGCATTTCAGACAAAAGCAACAATCACGATTTCAGTATTCTTCGCCATGCGGAGATGAAAGTTGGCAGTAGAAACCATCTGGTAACTTCCGAACTGGAGTCAGTAGGAGCATAAATGATGACAAGGAAAAGGCACCTTGTCTTCCAATGGAAACCCTAAGTCGAACTGCACATATGCGGCTATTCACCGATATCCAATCGAGTGCACTAACTTCAGCATGTTTGTCGAGGGCGAAACCAACAACAAATGCCTTGAGCCACTAACTCAGTATGGCCAGAGACGGGAAAAGTGTAGTCATTGTCAGCAGCTTCGGGGCCAGGAAGTCAAAGATTCGTCAAAATGCTGTTATTTCGTATGCGTGTTTCGGAGACACAGCATACATCATTACTAAGAGAGTGAAGAGTGAGTCAGCGCTGCCTGCTAGCCAATCTGTCCCAGAGTGCGGCAGTTAAACGGACCAATGTAAAAGAAGACTCTTGGTTTGATTGAAGACCTAAATGTATCGATAGCAGCAGCTACGAGGGCGGCGACAGTTCTCTTGCTCAATAGACCAGAAGAGAGCTGAAAGGTGAGATAGAAGAAAGAAGAATAGGGAGTATTGTCGACAGGATCGAAATGGTTGCCCATGCCGAGAAAGGGGTTTTGTTAGAGTTGTCCTACTTCTAGTCTTTGGCTCAATAGCCTGAACCACAAGACAGTGGGGAGAAAATCCAGCTCCGAAGTGTGATTACAGAGACCTACTGGGATCTGTTTGAGGCCTATTACACACATCCTTTGAAGTTAGAACAATGCACATATGTGGTAGGAGCGTATTACGTTAGGCACCTGCGACCATGGCCAGCCACAGGGGAGAGTTGGCTGGTTTGCACCAATTTGACCAGGGGCTGCCTGGCTTGAGGCGGGCGGTAACAAAGCGTTGAACACCGGAAGGTGCCTTCCCACCAGCAGAAACAATGCGTGGCGCTCGTGTTCTATGCTAATCGAACTGTGAGCTGATAACGGGTGAAGCCGTTGTCTTCCATGACTAGATTTTAAGGGAAGAAAGACATCGAATTCTCCCTAATGTCCGAATAGGATTGTGAGACTTAGGCGGACTCCTAACCATTGACGTGCATGATATGAGTGGCTCTGAAAGCACTTGGAAAGTGCCACCCAGCACAGTCCATGAGTCGAGAAGGTATGCAAACCATCGCACCACGTTAAGGTCCAGTCTAGTGATGACGGCCCAGATGATAGGGCCCAGATTCTCCCATTGTCATAAGAGCATTTTCACGTACTATTCCCAATAGTTACCCAGATGATACTATGCATGACCTTCAGTTTGTAATCGGGAATCGAAGCTCACACTTTACATTAACACAATATAGCCGCTATCCTGCCACATTCGGATGATCACCAATCCTTGTTTGAAACAGTGTTCTTTGAAACAGTGTTCTTCTCTGCGTTCCGTATAAAATCCGGAACATCGTCTCTTAGTGTTACGCGGCTGCGATTCAGGCAAGATCATGCTCTGCGGTCTCCCAACTTCAAAACGTGACGAATTAGCTGACCATCCAGATAACGATTCTGCCCCATTTCATGTTTCCATGTAATGGAGACAGCAATTCTGTCTGTGAACTTACTTTCTGTAAATTGCATTAGATTATTCTAAGCAGTATGGAATGAACATATTATTGAGCTAGACAGGCTTCAAGGAGTCTATTCATTCTGGACACCCACACACTAGCACTATTATCTGGCAATGTAGTAGCTGACTAGCGGATAAAGTTACTGTTATATTTTATGCGCATTGAAAATTCGGTAAGTAACTGGTCAAGCCAGTTCAGGCTTGTCACGTGCATTTCGAGAAGTAACTGTTTAGTTATTTAGAAGCTGCCGAATGATGAGCAAGGCATACGTCCGTCTACGAGACTACACAGATTGGGTGACCTGAGCTGTCCAACAGTGATTTACTCCGTTGTTTGTTTGACTGAAACAAGGAGAGAACCTCACCGGCTGGATAATGTAGTTGTTACTCGAAGTGATCAAACAGCACAGAGTGGATGTCATTTCCGCCGATTTGCCTCCAACAAACAATCCGTGCATTCCTGAACCATTGACATTCGAGAAACATTATTCACTGTTATTGCATCGAGCTGAGTAAAGCCGCGGGATGACCTGTCAAGGACGTGGCAGAAAGGTGGGTGGGTTCGGTCACATTAAATGCGGGAAATCTTGTCCGGCACGACACAGTCGAGATAACAATGATGCACCCACAATCGTTCGTGTATCTTGCTGTCAACGATACAACCGATTAATTCTACTGGCAATAACTTCATGACTCTCTAATGACTTCTGGTCAACATCGCACTGATAACCACAACCAGCGTGATATGACGTGACATCGTATGAGTGAATCCACCGCGATTCAGCTTTCGAGTAGTGGCGAAACGGGTGTTCTGCGATGAGTGATAGCAATGGCCGAAGTAGGTTTTGGAGAATCACGCAGGTAAATTATCGAAGTTCGTAGAATGTTTATGTTAACAAACTAGCTATAGCTTGACCCGATTTCTAAGAGTAGGAGGTGGTTTTCGAGAAAACGAGGGTAAACCTTATCCTCTGCACGAGTGGCATCGGCTGAGCCATGCTGGCACTGGTCGATTGGTCATATGAGTAATCATAATAGACCATGTCCCGCGAATTCAGTAGCTGCATCGCAAAAAGTACCGTTTGGGCATGAGAGCATAGGATTTAAAGATAATACACCACAACACTGGCTCCTACTAGAAAACCAACAGCGGTCCAGTGCTTTCGTAAAAGTGTCATGACTGTGTAGAAGTCTGGTCGTGGGCACACTTTATAGGAAAATGCACAAAGGACAGCAGCCATGAGTGGCCAGCAATGATTTCCGTCAAACCCAATTCGACAAAAGACGTGGTGCTAAACTGAACCATCCGTACAACTCCAACAGCCTACGCATGGGAAGGATACGATCTCCGTATACCCACCGATCACCTTGCCGTGGATTTTTGTTTACCGAAACTACACTCAAAGGTGCAAAGTCTCAAGGTGGGACAGACACAGACACTGAATGATCACATGAAGAAACGGCCCGAGGGGACTGGTCGTGTTGGCGCACACCGTACTCATAAATGGAAGCCTGGAGTTCGGCCACGGCATAGTCAGTGATCCACTTGCATTTGGTCACTTGCTTGGAGCTCTTCGGTCATCCAAATGATCGCAATAGTTGGTGATTGAAGTGATAAAGACACCGGTGTCCAGATAACTGCACTCATAGCACATAGCGGTTATGATGGGAGAAAGTCACATGAGCGTTACCGATGCTGGTACTAAGCGCTACGGAGCAGTATTCATGATGAGCGTTGTATTTGCTTAGACAAGTAGGGCGACCGACCACTTCTAGTAACTGCTCGTGGACGCTAAGGACGCAGTCCTGCAGCTGTTAGCTAAACAGATAGCGTTCGAGGAAGACCGACTCAATGCATTGAGGAAGTTGCTGTTTGCTGACCAAGTCAAACCGAACCGTACCTTGATACCGAACAGCGGGATGACGTGTGTTACGCCCAATGAAGTGGTATACGGATAGGTTCCAATCCATTTGTTAGGAAGAACCCGCGAGAAGAGAATTCGCAACCCACGATGACCTTCAACAACATGATGGCTCTGGAGAGGGGTATTCTGATTGTACATCCACGAATGACCTTCAGAGAGACAACGTACGCAATAAAACTGTAACAACAGATGGTTGTGATTGACAACGTCGACTGTCAAATGCCTCGGGATACAGATAGTAGGTAGTGTGATTGGTGGTGGTTGGTTGTCACGGATAACATGGGCAGATGGATGAATGTGGAATAAAATGAGCAAGGAAGAATTGCAAAACTTATCACTTACAAAAAAGGCAACTTCGCAATGTAACAGAGACTACTAAACAACACTCACTTGCTCATAAGGGTTTTGAAGGATTATGTATAAAATGACAATCAGTGTGATATGCGCGTCCGCAGAATGAGCACAGATCCATTTTGAAAAGTCGGCCGGATCACAATGGCGAAGTATCCACGTAGCCGCAAACAGAAACATCTTCACAGAGTTTGTGTTTAAATACTCTTTCTGGAAAGCCTCTAATTCAGATAGAAGCCGTTGGTTCGTATGGCGCCGTTTGCGCAAAGATTTGAAACCCGATTTGCTACTACCAGCCTAGGAGAGCATAGCCAAAACAGCAAACCTACCGATGAACGATCGAGAGCTTTCCTTTGTATTTCCCTTTCGTTCTGCTTAACAATGCGACTGTCAGATATTCCCTCAAACAGCGATTTGGTAGACGACGCCCCAGAAGACCAAGACAACGGTCGGTTGGTTCCATTGCACGAATCGGTAATTTTCACCACCGAATGAATCAAAAGATCCAGAAAGCCCAAAAATGCGGAAGCGACATCAGTTGGCGAAGGGATGGCAGCCAGATTGTCAACTGATGTCTGCCCAATACGGTGTGACACAGGTTCCACGGCATCGATCCATGGAGAAAGTATCGAACAAAGGAGTGAGGCCGCTTGGTAATGCAATTTGGGCAAACTATAGAGGGCGAAAGAAAGTACCATGGCTCAACAATACAGGAAAAAGTATTGCGAGCCAACAAACCACAAGGGAAATACAGCAGACAACTGGGGATTTAAAGGTTAACGGGAAAGTACGCAGAAATAACCCAAGAAATGCAATAAAATAATTAGGAATGCGATCACTGCATGAGAGAGTTCAGTGAAATGAGAACTTAACCGGCAAACTGACAAGAAAATTGCATACAAAATACATTGGCCGGGAAACTGTGAGGTTATAGAAAAAATGGTAGTCCCGCGGGCAGACCTCCGACTAGACAACTGTCTAGTTGGAAGAATGTTGAAAAAAGCTAAGGCTATTCAACCGGTGACTACCGGTTTGTCTTTTCCTGTGCAGTAAAGTACATCGAATGCAGGATCACGCACTTAGAAAAGCGAATCAAGGAACATCTATCGAATTCGCTCATCAACAGAAAGGATAGATTTAATTTGTGCCAAAACTAAGGGCCTGATCAGTACAGGGCACCATGCTGACAAGTGTAGTGCCATAAAAATACTAGATAAGGAGCCGTTCTTCATGAAGCATCAATTAACAACAAGGTTACCAGCTACCGCTGAAGCGGTAAGCATAAAATTGACAAGAGCAAGTTTCTGCACCCAGAAGAAGTTCGAGAAAGCCAACGTATACAGGTGGAGAGGCAGATCCGGCCCAACAACATCAAGTGTCTTCTATCACTTGATTACCAGAAGCATATCATGAGAGCCTTGCGATTTTATCCAAGTAATGTTTACACCACTGTGCAACAGATTTTCTTAAAGTTTATTTCTGTGATAGGCCTGATGATGAAGAAAGCGAAAACAGTTGTTTGTTTTAGGCGTTCCGCTTGCTAATTTGTTCTGGAAGCAGATGCCTAAAAGTGAACAATTTACACGAGATATACAACGAAAACCCACTCGGAACAACCAGTTAGATTGCGATTTCTGTCCACAGGATGCCATCCAAGATACCCATGAATTTCACTTTACTGTTACCGCTCTTAAGCTAGGCTATCCACAAAGCAAAACTACTGAGCGTAAAACTTGTGTTAGCTAAAGAAATGGAAAAATGCTCTCCCAAAACGAAAGAACGCATCAATGGTGTAGCAACTACTCTTGCCGCCCGTGACGGTGGTAAAATTTTCGCCCTTATTGTGAGCAGAATAGGCGCGTGAAGGCCACACACTGGGCTCAGGGTAAAGTGAACATTAGTTTTCGATGAAACGGTTACTGGTTTTTGACACAGGTTAATGTGGTGAAAATGAACACAATGGGACAAGTACGGTGGGGGAGATTACTGAGGGGAAAAGGTTTGCACACAGGTGTGTCACATGGCGCAAATGTGTTGCTGGTCATACAGAAGAACATCGAAATATCCAACTCTCAGCTTATCCGGAATATGTTGCCCTTTATATTTGGTATCGAACACTAAACGGTATTAAAAATACTGTCCTCTGTCACATACCGCCCGGAGCGGATCGCCCCCTCGCTCCCGTTATGCTACATCTCTGGGACCTATTCCAAATGGTCCAGTTCACTGTATCCCTACATGTCACATCAATCAACAGACAACGATTGTTACCACTGCGCATGCTCCCGAAGCTTGCCAAAAACAAAGACGTAGAAAACTGCAGCGTTTGACTTCATAACTATCCAGCCCAGATTACGATGATCATGATTAGATATAAAATCCGTTGATATTTATGGTCCGGTTAAGCAATCCTCGGAAACAACGCGCGCAGTACTCCCGAATTCGTCCAAGTGAATAAGTGCATAAGTGGGATTCGAATTCAGAAGTATTCGGCCGCAGCTCAAGAGGCAGTGGATTTTTATTGTTGCAGTCCGAGCTCACACCAACGGTAGAGGAGGGATGGAAAAAGAGTTCAGCAGACCCCTACAGAAATATGAATATGGTAACCACTTCCAATATGAAAGGTACGGCTGGTGTCGCGTCAGCTCAAGAACGCACTAGATGGAACAACCGCAATGTAAATGGAGAATTGAACCAGTTCTCAGCCTGAAAGTTAGATGTAGGATGTGGGAGAGCAGACAAGGAAAGCCCTTGTTTCACCAACTATTCGCAAGCTACCTGCGCCCAAGTAGTGTTGGCGTATCACTTCTTAACTCAGGAGATGACAATGCTGTTGAAACAAACAAGGAACCTGATCCCGATGAGGAACGGTAGTGACACGGAAAATAGGGGAAACACGCGCACCATAAACCCACAGAGTGGTGGGTAGGCCACGGACCGCATCAAAAAGGGGACACCCGCTTAGTTTGACCCAGCTACCAACATTATGTGTACCATCTACTCCAGTAACGACCAGTAGTCTACTATGGGAAGTAAAGTATCGTCATTGAGCAGGCGAGCACCTTTTCCGTACTCGCATAGAACGTCACGAGAGCTGACATATCGATTGTGGATGAACGTCAAGCACACGCTATAACCTCAAATGCATCCAATGAAGCGATGGGGCACATTATACGTACCGTCAACCAGAGTGACACACCTGTGCACAAAATTGAGATTTGCAAAGGTAACGAGCTGTTAAAGTCAAACGGACGGAAGTAGATAAGTAGTAACGTACTAGTGAAACGAACCCAACAAACGGTTAGGTTAGAACCATTGTTAACCCGAACACAAACTGGAAGCACTCATAGCTGGCGAAGTCATTTTGGCGGGAGCGAAGAAGCACAGTGCATACAATAACAACCTCAGCATCAAGTAAATGCACCATCGTAGGCGACTGAGGTACTATCGGCAGATACATGAGAGCCACTCAGCGAACCACAAGCGCGTGCAGCACCCGATAATGTCGTCAGATGACTAATGAAGAGAGCGTGGAGGATACGCACCGTAGATGTGCTTCCAACTGGGCTGAGTTTTAGCCGTAGCTTGTTTGAGCGGAATTTATACCCCGAAAAACTCATCCAGAGGTACATGAAACTGCGAGTACCGAAGGTGAAACATGTTTCTAAGGAAGAGTGGTTAATATACTTATTGTTACCGTATAAAGGTTACCTAATAGCGGAACGGACTACTCGAAATCTTTTCATAGCCAAAAGGAGAACGCAATTCGCCGCCGATCTGCAGGTAAGTATCATCACAATTTAACTGTGCACCAGTAACCCAAGAGTAAGATACTTCGGTTGCTGATTTACTTTTGTGTGCACAATTTCTCTTGCTCGTGTCAAGCATTATGTCTTAAGAAAAAAACTGGGCGACAATCCGCAGGAGCTCGATAAGTTTGCTGAAGTTGACATTACAGTGGGGTGAGGAAGAATGTGAAGCGCTCAGTACTGTCGCAGTTACCTGACCTTGATCAATAAATTAATTCGCATTGATCGTTCCAGCCCATTTACTCTGCGAAGGAACGCCACAAACAAACGGTCATATATGGTTGGCTGTCAACAAGAAGGGAACGCTATTCGGCTCCAAAATCTGGGCCTCCGTGCAAAGAAAAAATTGGTTCAGTCCAGTGGTCCACTTTGCCCGCAGACCTGCAAAACTAACGATGGTAGTCACACCACTCTCCCGATTTGACATTGTTCAGACCAATCATGTGGCCCTAACGAACGGATATTTCGATTCATTGACCCACTGTTTTTTACTCCTTAGCATCTTTTCTACACTTTTCACAGGCAAGTGCATCCATAGCGCTTTCAAATTTCTCCTTAAGGAAATCATGTTCCTCCACAGACCATTCAAGATGGTCCATAACGCTTTCAAGTTGAATCCAGCGATCAGGAATTCCCTTAAATGATACGGTCCATTAACTGACTAGACCTAAACCGAACAATATCATCTCACTCTGGGTACTCCTCTGTTGGAACAGCAGCTTATTCGTGATTGGTCAATCAACAAACAGCACGTATATTTTACGAGTGGTTGCACTCGTTGGATGCAAGTTGAAAGCGTTAGGAACCATCTTGAGTGGTCTATGGTGGAAGTTGAAAGTATCATGGATTCCTTCGGTTGCAGTACTCTGATGACGAACTGCTGAAAACCAACTTGTTTAATAGCTCTGGCTTCCAAGCTCAACAACCACGAGCAGTAACTTAGCTGGATTGGAAATTCATATAAAAGGTAGCGATCATAAGATAGTGGAGTGCGCGTTTGAGATAACCAGTGAAGGGTTACCCTACAAGACCAGCGTCCGCCTACCAACCATTTCAGCGTATTAACTGGGACAGCTTCACCAATCTCTTCAGATCCATGGATTGGGATAGGTTCTTTTTGGCAACTGATATTGATGTAGCCACCAACGAACTGTACAACAATGTTGAATTCTGCCTGGATATACTCATACCAAAGCAACGCGGATGTAGACCACGCTGTCAATTAACCGCAGCGATCATAAAGACAAAGTCCATACGATACAAATACAAGAAGACAAAGGAGTTCATCTTCTTATGCACATCTTTGAAACCATGTTGCAATAGAGAAAAAAACGGTCCTCGGTGAAGTCAGCATAGGAGAGTATAGCGATCTTAAGCACAAATCCATCAAAATCGTTTACAATTTACTAAAACATAGGGGCTCTCGTAATGTGACACTCATCAGATCACTAGTGTTACCAGATAAAACAGTGGTTACTGACCAAGAAGAATTATGCAAAGTTCTAAACACATTTTTGCAATTGCTTCCTTGATGCTAGTATAACACCCCAACTCACGTACCTAGACTTACAGAAGATGAACTATCCAGCACTATGTTTGGTCTGCGCAAAATCGCTATACAGTCACTCAAGCCGACCTATTACGTTGGCCCTAATGGCTTATCTTCTGTAATTCTAAACCTTGATCGTCCTGAAGTTCCCCTCGTACTCATTAACACTTTCACTCTATCAAGGAGAAGCAGCAAGTTCCCTGCCGCCTGGAAGCATGTAGTTGTTCTACCGAGACACAAAAGTGGGTGTCCCCAGAACATTGACAACTACCGGCCAATCAGCCACACTCCCAACACATCACGAGTGATGGAGA